CAGACATCGCTCTCGTCCACCACTTTTACCGTCATCGAACAATGAAGCCGAAGAATGGTGGTCCCAAGAAGCGACTGTGGGCATGCCACGGTGCGGTATGCCGCCTCACCTTTGGGTACCACAGTACCATACCAGAGGCAAAAGAATGGGTCCACCCATAGTCTGGCCAAAGGATGACGAGAGACGAGTTCATGCAGATTATCGGATATGACCCACTCAAGGGCAAAAATCCTGACAAGGATGGACCCACTGATGGCTCTTAACTCTCACCAGAGGCGTGCCTGACACTATCGAACCTCGACCCCTCGCCGGTTCTCTGTGAATGGAACGGCCATGTCGAGGGTGATGAGCCACCAGAGGAAGACTTTGAGTCATACGCAGCGATCTTCTCACAAGAAGCATCGAACGATCTTGACGAGATGTGGTGTACAAAAGGGCCTTACAAGGTCATCACCATCGCGATCGTCCATTTCAACTCATTCATGACTCATAAGGAAGAACAGAGACGCGAACTGGTGAACGCGTTCCTCAACGAGATTCTCCCTTTTAAACCGGATGTGATAGCGGGAGATCTCAATAATATTGAGTCGAGGCTCACCTTAAAAGGTGGAGACGTTCACCCGCGAAACAGTTTGTTTTCTCTATACCTGGAGAAGAAACTTGCAGCATTCAACAAAATAGCAGGAAGGCACTCACAAGTGCGACATCTTTGCTTGAACAACTCCGACCAGCACAGACTGGCACGTGCAGATCGTCTCCCGGCGGACCCGGCGAAGAAAGAACGGGTTCTGACCTTACCCCTGTACTCTGCCCTGCCCTGTATCTTCCACAACCTCTGATGGTTGCCTCCTCCCCCCCTGTATACGTGTCCCATCATCTGATCCTGTACATCAAACGTGAGATCCTTGACTGGAGTAAAACGCCGCACACGGCGTCACCTAGTCCAAGAGAGGGCACACCTGCCGCTGAAAGAACATACTGGGAACGAATCTCAGATATGTGGCAGGACACGAACAACAACAGGGATATTGATATCCGTCTGTTTGTCTCAGTCAAGCAGTACTATTCAACTTTTTCTAACCTTGACCTATGGTTGAGTCCCACTGACAAAGATTGTCACAGCCCTTTGGGCTTCACGATACAACCAATCCTTACAAAAGGGAAACACAACCGGTCAGATGCCCAGGTCCAAAAGATCGCTGACAAGCGAACGGCTTACAAGCAGCGTAATGCTGAATACTGGGGTTACAACGATTCATTCGTTTACTCATCCGGCAACAGCTGGTACGACAAATCGCAACCATCAGGTAGCCATCACAGATATGGAAGATTCTGGGAGTGGCCACAGCCTGAAAGTCCCAGCGAGCCTGAAGGTCCTCCTCCAAGAAGGAACCAGGAATCATCGTCCTCTTCACAACAAGATCTACCAAGATCAAGGTCCAGGCCTCAAAGAACCAATATTGTTGACAAGATCAACATGTCTTTGGAAGAGCTGGATGGACTAGAAGAAGAACCGTCACCAACAAAAAGTGACATCGAAGAACACGAAAGAGAAACATCAAACTTGATGGCTGCTCAGAGAGATGAAGAGGAACAAGAGGACGAATCCTCCAGCCGGAGAAGAAGAAGGAAGGCATCGCGTCCACCGTCTGCTCCGAGCGGCAAGGCACTCAGAACAGCTGCTACAGCAGCGGGATTGTCGGGCTGGTTCGGACACCGCAACCGAGGTGGAGCAAACGCAGAGTCTATCAAGACTGATGAAGCTTCACTTCCAAACTCACTAACCAGTGAGCAAGACTTCTCCGTCTTCAGCATCGCGTGGAATGTGTTCCTGCTGCTAATGGGCTTACACTGGATGTGGAAGCAGATTACCAGGCCTCCTATCAGATGTATGGAGCGCCAACAACCAAAATCAAAAGCAGCAGCGAACCAAAGAGGTCCATTCCTCGAACCCGAGGATGAACCGCAGACGCGTGAACCTTTAGGACCCAACAGGGTCAATTCCGGAGAAACAACTGATCTGCGACCTATCTGGCATACTTCCCGGAGCGAAGTCTACCATCTCTCAGACAGCTGTTATCAGCTCAAGCAAGCAAGAGATGTCTGCAAGAAGGTGCTGTGCAAAAACTGCCTCCATGCAGTACAAGTTGCGGAGATTCGCAGGAATGATCCTTTCCAAAGAGGTGATACACGACCACGTGGCACCGAAAGAGACATTGAGCGCTTTCAGACCTACGATGATGCAAGTAACACTCCTCACATGACACAATTATTCAAGGATGCCTTGCATGCACAAATGGCCGAAGAAGCCATGCAGATTACCTATACATCGATCCCTAAGGGATCCTCGGCAAAGGCCAGAGGTACATCTGCACTCTCAAGTGCCGCATCGTCATCAGCGCCCAAGGCAATGCCACCAGGGCCTAACAAGGCAAACATGTCACCTCCACCTAAGAGTCCTCCGCCAAAGGCGAAAGGAACAGTACCTTCAGATCCTCCGCGACCAAAAGGTCCTACCAGAAGAGGAGGTCAAAATCGGCGCATTCAACGAAAGGCAGCCAGAGAAGCCCACAACAGTGGACTCTGCACCTATGCAGACGCTGCACTTGACGAAGCCAATCAAGGCCAGGCAATTAACGTTACGTGCCGAAACATAGTAGCAAGACACGTCAGCTCTATCGATGCAACGGTAGAAGCAGCCGGCCATTTTACACAACGCGTGCTACAGCACGTAGAAACATATGATGAAGAGGAACCGTGGAGCACGGAGTTCCTACCGATCGTGGAAGTCCTATTCAGGAACTTAAGCGGCGACGAAACAACTGTCATACATGACAATCAAACGGTAACTATGCCTCTTGCGAAATACACAGACCTCCTCAGAATCGCACAAGCATTGCGAGGCTCTATCAAGAGAGACAAGGAGGAAAGAAAGGAACATCTTGACACCATCCAAGATACTCTATCCAGAGTGGAAATCATTTCTAACAGGCAGCTGAAGGAACTCAAGGGACAGGTTTTTTTGTTTTCTTTTTTTTTTTTTTTTTTTTTTTTTTTTTTTTTTTTTTTTTTTTTTTTTCTTTTTTTTTTTTTTTTTTTTTTTTTTTTTTTTTTTTTTTTTTTTTTTTTTTTTTTTTTTTTTTTTTTTTTCGTATTTTTTTTTTTTTTGTTTTTTTTTTTTTTTTTTTTTTTTTTTTTTTTTTTTTTTTTCTTTTTTTTTTTTTTTTTTTTTTTTTTTTTTTTTTCTTTTTTTCTTTTTCTTTTTCTTTTTTTTTTTTTTTTTTTTTTTTTTTTTTTTTTTTTTTTAACCAATTGGTCCATTCCTCACTAGAGATAGAGCGAAGAAATAACAATCTCAAAAATGTCCTCGAGACACTCTTTGACGACCAAAGCTCTGAGGAAGACCAATCCGAATCTGACAATGAAGAAGTCCTAACTCCTTCTGCACCACAGTACTGGAATAGCCTCTATGCCCACGCCTTATCTCCTTCAGGAGATGAAAGTGAAAGATCATGGGCGTCCTCAGACGGACAGCTTGAAAGAAGAAGGGCTGAACGGGCAAAAGCTAAGCAGCCACAACCGGCTAAAGCCAAGGCAACTCCAGTCAGCTCACAAGCTGCGCCAAAGGCCGAGCCAAAGGCGACAACATCCAACCATGGATATGATACTGCAGACGCCGCCTTCAACAGGGCTGAGAACAGACTACTCGGAATTTATTCAAGTTCCGAAGAAGATCACTCAGACCCGGATGAGCCACATCCGAACGTCTACGCTCGAGCCTATGATCCAAACCTGGATCCAAATCTGAGATAAGAGAATCTCAGAGTTTCACAATAGTGACTCACAAAGCTCTAACAAGAGCAAGGTGAAAGGCTGCATAATTCGATGTAGAAAACATCACCAGACATGATCCTGTACAGATGATCTCTCTGACCAACATGCATGAGTGTGTGTGCAAAATGAGTGGAGTGTCCTCAGCAGTGTACTTCAGTGCTATACCTTGCATAAATAATATGCTGTTTTTATAATGAGTCCAAACTCCGCAACTGTGACAGTGGGCATAACAGTATATGTGTGAATGTGCGGCCATGCTTCCGGTAAAAGAAAATTAGTGTCTGTTTGAAACCATAAACCTCTAAAGGGGTAGCTCTAACAGGTACCTACAGCAATGGCTGCATGCTCATATATATACATTCCGCTGCCCATTGGCTCACAGTGGTTTTACCATATTGAGACAAGACAAGCTCTCCTTGCGTAGCAAGACAAAACAACTACTGTCCGTGTGCAGGGCGCTGCCCTTTGATCCTTAGGGAATAACTGGTCATACACCTCCTCACAAGGAGTATCCCTTGGGGGTGTATAGGCACAGGGGGAGGGGGGGGGAGGGGGGGGAGGGGGGGGGCAGGGCGGGGGAGGAGGGAGAGGGGGAGGGGCGGGAAAGGCCTGGGAGGGGGGGGAGGCCGACAAATCAGGTAAAATGAGGGGAAGCTGGGCAAGGGGGTGGCAAACGGGTGTCTCCAAACATTTGGACTGCGGAGGAGGATTAGGTGGAGGGTACCTGAGGTAACCCCCAAGACGCCTGGGCCTCTGGCCTCGGCGGATTTTCCATATCTTATCATTGCTATCACGTGTTCCTCCGGCCTTTATGGCCGTGGCGCTCTTCCTAGAGAAGTTCCTGGTTCAACATGGGTGAGCCCTGCATGTCTCTGAACTCTGAATTCCCAATTTTCCTCCAAACCCAAAGTTAGTGGTGAAGCGATCGAGCCAGGATTTATCACGGAGCCTGTCCCTCTAGCGATGCGAGATTTCACAACTGTAGAGCGCACGAGTGGGACACAGCAGAACCATGCAACCCGCACCATCATGTTGTGGCTGGGCTTGATCGCTTTGTGCTCAGGTGTCTAAATGACAGCACAGATCGCTTCCAAGCGAGTGTAGATATGACCTGTGACTCGTGTGGATTCCCTTCGCAAATGCCATGAAGTGTGTGGATCCCCAAGGTGCTCAGCCTCAGTTTATTCGTTTGCCTCTACCACGACCATGCGGCCAGCAGCCGAGAATTGGGTGCGTTTAGGATTTGAGATTTCTCGAGTCCTGGGCTTCGGATGTCAATGCGTAGCAAATTCTCAGCTGTTTTGTTGGAGATGGGGTGCAACCGCGTTTGAGCGAAACCTGCAGAAGCCTTTCGAGTATTGCACTCAATCTTGGCAGGCCATTGTTTGGATGCTGGAGCTTTCCTGCATGGTGCTTTGTGTGCTCGGCTTAGAGCATGAAGGGCGTCACAACAGTCATGGCGCTTCTTAAAACGGCAAATTATAGAGAAGATTATGGGAGACACATGTCCAACCAGCCAGGTTTTGAGCATCAGCCTGGGAAGATTTGCACGGCTCGTGCCCCGTGTGTTTGTGCCCCGGTGTTTTTTAGCCTTTGATAAGCGATTTTTTCGAGGAACGCCACGCTGATGGCCATTGGCTTCTTGTGCCTGGCATCCATTGGACTCGGAGCTGCTGTGGGGACCTGGCTGGAGGCTTGGACGCGCTTCAACCGCAACCACTCAACCTCCCGTCGGCCCGCCCGGACCATGATGACACTTTGTGGCCCAGTTGCGGCCCTGTTAGTTGAACCAAGGAAGCCGGGTATTTGGAGAGGCCTTTTGCGAGTGTCATGGGGCGTGTCCGATGAGTGACTGCATGGATGTCTGCACATTTCGACTCTCCGACCACAGGTTTTGGCAGCTGTACCGCTCCTCCAGTTATCAGATCGTAAATCCGTATGATGCCTCTCGCGAAGTGGACATGGTCTCATGCCACGATTGGGCTTGCAAGGGAGAGCTCAATTTGCTTGGCGTCCGGATGTTGTGAGACCTTTCAAGGTGTCCTTTCTAAAGTTCGTCGATGGTACCGTGGTCGATGAGAAGCATTCTTTAGGACACCTTGCGAAGCTTGGCTCGTGCCAGTTGCATCAGCATAGTTTTTTCGAACGTCTTCGGCCAGCTGCGGCTTGACAACCTCGGTTGTGTGCTGCTCAGGAGGGGGAGCATCTACTGCGTGGCGCCTGTCGTCCTGGAGCATCAGGTGGCCAAGCAGGTCCGGTACTTGTGAAGTGTGAGAACATACAAAGGCAAACATTGCATTGGACCGTTGAGGTCCTGTACTGGGCTGTCGGCAAGGACTGTTGTGGCAGGAGACCCCCTCTCTCTCTCTCCCCAAATACAGCTTTGCCGGAACAATTTCGACCCAATCGGTTCTTAGTAGGAAATTTTAAATTATTAAATGCAAGGTGGACATTGATCGGCTTATGTGCGTAGTCCCGGCCACCTTTTTTCAACTCCGGCAGGGCCAGCAAATGAGTGGGCGAGCAGAATCGAGCAGAACAACCGTGTCCAGAGAACATCCGGTCAAGTCTTCCCGAACACTTGCTCTGTGAGAGGAGGAGCAACTTCTCCTGTGGTTCCTTTCTGCAAGGCATCATGGTGGAGCAGGACGCCCTTACCATGCCTGTCTGTATGCTGTCAAAACTTATCTTCAATGGAAGTTGGGTCTGCTGCTCACGATGGCGCAGTGGTTTCTTGGACAGCTTCGTCCTGCTGGATGGGACTTGGTAGGCTGTAAGCTTGATATTGAAAACTGGAATGCAGTACTCGTCGTAACAAGCTCTTGCATCACCAGCATCTTTTGAGCCGAAACTCCTTTTCTCTATCTGCTCGTTGGGTCCCTCAGTGGTACAGGCTCAGACAACAGTCTGCAAACTTCGCCAGGACGACGTGTTCGGGCGCGCAGTTCTGCAAGCCTCATCTGTGTTTGGCATCAAGGCCAGTGGCGCTAGACTCCCAGGCAAGCTCTCTTTGAAAAGCAAGTGAGCGGCGCAGAGGCAGCTGCAACACCAAGATTGGTGGCTCTTCTCGAACATCCTTCCCAACTTTTGGCACCTTGGCAAGCAGCAAGTATTTCCAGTAGGAGGGGGGATTTATAGAGTTATCATATATGAAAAATGCATATATATATATGATACATGTTCATACTTATACACATATACATAGATATTTCTTGTAACGCATGCAATCACATCTGTACGCATACATGCATTAACATGGGTACGTATCTATGTAGGTAGGTAGGTGTGTATGTATGTGTTGTATGCATGCATTCATGCACGTATGTGTGCATGTACATACGTATGTAAGTAACTAGGTTCGTAGGTAGGTACGTATGTATGTATGCATATATGCATGTATGTATGTATGCATGCAAGTACGTACGTAAGTAAGTATGTATGCATTTAGCATGTGTGCATGCCTGTATGTGTGTGTCTTTTTCCTTTGTGCATATCTTTACACAAATACACACATGCAAATATTCAGCACAGGTATGTTCGTTTGTTTGTATGCATGCATGCTTGCATGTATGTACATTTGTAGGTTTGTATTCTGTATATGTATGCCAAAGCACTCGGAAGCCGTGGAAGTTCAATTCGTGCGCGCGCGCGCGTGTGTGTGTGTGTGTGTGCGTGTTTTGGAGAGTTGAGGTTTATGTGATGGTTCTGTATGGCACTTGTTTGTATCAAGCACGGTTATGGAGGTTCCTTTATCTCAACATGTTCTGACCTGGCTTGACTGTGCCAGTTCTTTCGTGCCAGTGTTTCTTCGTCCACATCCCCGTCGTCGTCACTCGTTGTAGGGTTTAGGGTGTTGGTTTGGGTTTGGGGTTTCTGTGAACAAGTCACTTTTTGAGCTTTCCGGTTTCTGGCAAGCAATCACGTATTTGAGATTTTGGGGGCTTTTTTGCAACCACTGAGTCCGTTTCGGGTTTGGGGTTTCTGCGGAAGATTCACAATATTTAGAGCTTTGTTTTATTCGTAGACACGCACACCTTGGGCTTTGAGCTTCTGTGAACGAGTCGCCGCTTCTAGCTTTTTGCGTTTTCGGAGCCGCACACTCCTTGTAGGCTATTGTCGATGAGTCCCTTCTTTCAGGGGTTTTGTGTTACCCATTCTAGATTGTAGATAATTTTGGTGTGAGTGAAGCCGATCACTCTTTTCAGGCTTTCGATCTGTGGCAACCAGTCATCAGTTTTAGGGTTTAACGTTTGTCGCAACAACCGACCCATCTTAGGTCCTTTTGGATCTTTTGGGCCGTCGGGTTTCTGGCAAGCAGTCCCTCATTTGAGGGCTTTGAGGATTAGCCCAGCTACTCAGTCCTTTCCAGGCTATGGGTTTCTGTGAACGATTCACAGTGTTTAGAGTGTTGCTTCATTCGTAAATATTGCAAGCTTTGAGCTTCTGTGAAGGAGTCGAGTTGCGTTGTCGTACGCTGACATTCCTTTGGAGGGAGCACTCTTTTCGGCTTCTGGTCTGTAGCAGCCAGTGATCCGTTTTAGGGTTTAAGGCTTTAAAGGTTTGTCGCACCCGCCAGCCCGTTTTAGGTCTTCGGTTTCTGGCAAGCAGTCCCTCATTTGGGTTTTTTGGGATCGCGCAATTACTCAGTCCTTTCTAGGGTTACCGGTTTCTTCGATCGATTCACAGTGTTTAGAGTGTTTGAGCTTCTGCGAAGGAGTCGGCCCCTTTAGGCTCTTGCGTTGCCGTGCGCTGTGCATTCCTTTCGGGGGTGCACTGTTTTCAGTGGCAACCAGTGATCTGTTTTAGGGTTTAAGGTTTGTCGTAAACACCAGCCCGTTTCAGCTCCTTGTGAGCTTTGGGTTTCTGGCAAGCAATCCCCAATTTGTGGATCTTTTGGGATAGCGCAACTACTCAGTCCTTGCCAGGATTACCGGTTTCTGAGAACGATTCACAGTGTTTAGAGTGTTGCTTCATTCGCAAATATTGCAAGCTTTGAGCTCCTGTGACTTGGAGCTCCGATGGCATCACATCTTACTCAATTCAGCTCAATTCGCTTGCCGGTACTACTATGTACTGCTACGTAATACCACGTACTGCTACGTACCACTACGTACTGTTACGTACTACTACGTACTGCTACGTACTGCCACGTAGTTACTACTACGTAATTTGACGACGACAACGCATGACAACAAATCTGATCTCTACAAAAGTAAAACCGATGTAACGTTTGCGCGCTTCTTTATCGCACAAGGGTCTTACTTCCCGGAATCTGTATGCTTGGGGTAATGGCAACGTTGCGCAGGGCGGCCTTCCTGCATGCATTCCGAACGAACTGAAACAGGCATTTCTTACATAATGTAATGCACAGACATAGACATATACATACATGTACATACATATCTGCATACACCTACATTCATACACGTACATACGTACATACATACACATACAGACATGCACACATGCATCGCGCATACATACATACCACATACGTACATATATACACTCATACATACATAGAGGCACATGCATACACATACATACGTACATACAGACTTACATGCTTACATACATGCCCGTACATCATACGCATACATACATAAGTGCATACATTGTTTCTTTTCTGATTTCTATCTATATCCGTATGGTCAATGTGCATCTAGATTGATATAGCTTGGTGCCTTTGTCTTTAGTCTCGAAGGGGTTTTCCATGCGTGTTCGGTTGCATTCTAGAATTCCTACTTAGTTTTGCTTGATGCTTTCTTGTGGCCGACTCCAGCGATTGCAGGCACAGCTTTGGTACGAGGCCTGGCCGCAAAATCTGTTGACACTAGTTCGCACAGTCGCTCATGTGCGTTAGGTGCTCGAAGTTGGTGACAAACCGAGGAGAGCACACGTGTTGTGCTGATGGCAGTCCTCATGCACCTGGTCGTGTGCATTATCGCCACCGCGACGATGGCCTCGGCGACTGTATACGCTTCGAAGCTCAAGGCGTAAGCGAAGTTCTCCAACTCTCCACACGTTTTCATTGCAGTTTTCCGGGTGGCACATGAACGCAGAGACCACGCGTGAGAAGGCGGCGTGCCAACGTTAGCCATCAAAGGCGACGTTGCCTTTCTTGACGTTCCCGTAACACGGACGACGAATAGCTGAAGATGCGAGAAGTCGACTGAGCCGCCGGCTGTGTTTCACAAAGGGTCGAAAGACAAGCAAGAGCTGGACCTCTCAACTCTTCGAACCTAGTGGAATAACATCTACCATTTTTGTTCGCATTGGCTTCTATGAAGTGCCCTGGCTGCGAAGGAGAAGGCAACCCACTTGAGCTCTCGCGAAGTTGGAGGACAGAACGATCGTGTGCGAAGAAACTGCACCGGTCTCGAAATTCAAAGGCCAAGCGTGGAGTCGGCTGCTTGTGTTGAGTAGCCCTCGTCTGGCCGCAACACTGCAGAGAACTTCCACGAATCTGGTAGCGGAGAAGAGGCGAGGCCGCCGGGCCATAACGGCTCTTGCAGCTTCGAGAGGCCCTCACCAGGGCAAGCTGTCTGAACCTGGCGGCAACCACTGCGTGACCGGGTGGTGCACAAGGAGAGCCCAGCAACGATGGTGCCCCAGACGAGCAGCGACGAGCAAGAAAGAGTTCTGTGAGAAACTTGGAAACTGCCGAAGTTGTCTGCGTGTGAAAATTCCTGGACCTGCTGGAGGCTCTGTCGCCACCAGGTGCAGATGCAACTTACAAAGGAGATCTTTGGGCTGAAGTGCTTCGTCAGAACCGCCAATGCCTCCAGAGCAGGAAGCAATCAAGTTCGGCAAGGTCGACAATGATGAGATTGCATGCAATTTGAGGTTATTCCGAGTTGCGAGGGCGGATGCATGAGCAAAAGAGCCTTGGATTTGGTAGCTCGCCAAGCCTGTGTCAAAAGCAAGCACATGCAAAGCTTGTTGTCGAACGTACTGCTTGTAACTCAGTCCCTGCAACTTTCTGGCAGCGCTGACAGTGCCGAAAACTTAGTCGGACACATGTCGCACTTGAGCAGGGTCGAAACAAGGGAGTACAAGCTGCAAGATTGCTGCTGGCATGAGCAGCCGTTGCAAGGTCGGCAGCCTGGAAGGGTGATGTTGCCATTGTGTTAGAGGCAGATGCTGAGTCACGTCAAGGTCGAGTTGTAAGAAACGCCAAGTGTTCCCGGCAGGACTACTCCGGTGGATTGGGCTGTCTTTTCGGAGGTGCCGTCTTGCACGGCCCACGGCCGTGCTTCGAGACGAGAGCAGCTACTGCAGGTGATTCGTCATGCGCTGGAGCCTGGCACAGCGTCCTCCTCTTTGCCTTTCCAGGTATGTAGGAGGCCAAGGATCCTTGACTTGAAGGCTAGTCGCTGTCGAGCCCGTTTCAAGTCCGAGGCTGTATACATTGACAGAGCTGCAAGCCAAGCTATGAATTGGCAGATCTTGCCTGGATCGGACCACTGAACCTCAAGGTTCCAAGTTCTGCAAGCTGCCTCTGCTACAGCCTACTTCTTGCTCGCGGCGCCGCTGTCTCAGTCACGGGTCGCAGTGCTTTGAGACTGGGCCTGATGGGCAGGTTGCAGCTTCCCTTGCAAGACCTCACGCTCTCAGCTTGAGCCTCAGGATGCCAGCTTCGAGCCACAGAATTCGCGTCTGCTCAATCAACATCCGGATAACTCGCGCCTATCGACCGCGAGAATTCCTCGCTTCTGTCAGGTGCTTGATAATACGATGGCGGCATTTCGGTTTTCGATGCTGCCAGCAATAGGGCTGGTGGCAGCCGGGTGCGAGTCTCAAGAATGCAGCAAGGTTGCAGACCGCACACGGCGACTGAACCAGGCTGGTGCTTTACGGCCGCGGCTCCAATATCTCCGCCGGCCTTGAGATAAACGGGATTAACACTGTGTAGGAAGAAAAGGTGCAAACAGCCAGCTCGACGCATTGGTCATTGGTGGTGCAGCTCCCAACATATTCCTCTGGCAGCTTGCTTGAGTCAAAAATGTTCAAGGACAGGAATCCATGGACACCGCTTGAAACATCTATTAGTCAAGCGGTTGAAGCTCCAGAGTTGTATCTAGGATCAGCTGGATGCTCACGATGAGTCTTCTTCAGATCGTTTGCTGTTTGCGGCAGCATGCAAGTGGAACCCTGGGAGCATGATCCTTAGCCATGAAGGAACCAGGCGGAGTGCCCTTGTGTTGCTGTCGGGTGATGTTCGTGGTTTGACATGGCAAAGTAAGTCTTCTGGTGCAGGTCAAGCGAAGAGTTTATTTGCCATACCGGCAACAGATGACCCGATCAAGCATCGCAAGCCACCCAGAGTCCGGCCCGATTGCAATCTCAGCTGCTCGGGGTCTGCCAATTTTTGAGGCGAATGGGTGCTCCCGACGAGTTTTCGAGGGGTGGCTGTCAGCTGCTGAGTCACCGCCTGTGGCATGGCTTCTGTGAGGCGGAGAAGCTGTGGATTCGCATGGACCGTGACCGTTGCGAAGCGGCACATAGCAGCACAGAGCCAGCAGCATCGTAGACATCAGAGCAGAGCTCTAGCTCGAGGCAGTGGGACCATCACAAGGGAGGAGCGGAGAAGTTGCGGTGTTGCGCATGCGCTTCCAGAGCGTGGTTCGCATGTTTTCGCCATTGCCCTGCTTTTCGCCATTGCCCTGCGGACACAGGAGCTTATGTGCGATGAGTTCCAGGAGATTCTCAAGGTGCTGTGGTTCACCAAACCTGTGCAAGCTTCCACACCGTTCGTTACCTCTGCATAGTTCTCTGCACCTGAAGCACTCGCAGGCAGTCATTGCACCAAAGAGTGGCAGCCCTTGTTTCGCTGATCGACGGTTGCGGTGACGAAATCCGAAAACCTCCTCAACATCTCAGCACTGCTCTGCGAATAGAGAATGTCTCTGGCCAAGGGGGCGAGTCGAATGCAGCCTACGGCCGATCCGAGATCAATGTTCCACAGGTAGGCGGAACCAAGGACACACTGATGTTTGTAAAACTTATGAGGACCTTCCACTGCCACTGCAAGGCAGTGGACTTCTGCATGCGGAAGGCCGCGCAGAATGCTTCTGGCGACTCGTGAGCAGTTGCTGCGCAGAAATGGAAGAACCGGCGGAAGAACGGACGGAAGACGAAAGACTTCTCTGATCAGTCTGAGAATGGGCTCCCGCTCCGACCCTAGCCGAGGTGAACTGTCCTTCGAGGAGTTCAGCTCGTTTCTGCGGGCATCGTGCTTGGACTTGAGTCGAAGTTACAGCAGCCTCTGTGTTTTTCTTCACTCCTTCTGCGGGCAGGTGCTCCGCAGGGCAGGCGCCAGCAGTCGCAAAGCCGATCTCATCTTCGCGCCACTCTCCGAGCATTGAACGAGATTTGAGGGTCAGCCTCAGCAGCTTTCCCTACATGTCCTCTGTGACCCTAGGCTTTTTGACCTCGATCAAAGTGGGGTGCTCCGGCCTGCTTTGCATTTATGTATTCACAAGCTCTCTTTCAGAAGCTTGGTTTGCTCTCGCGGCAGTTTCTGGACAAGGAGGAGTTTCTGGAGGTTTATCGCTACTTTTTGGGGTGCGCGGCATTGAAACAGACCCGTGATCCTCTGCAGTTGCATGGTGCGGAGCAAAAGAGCAGTGCTAAGGCATCGACCAACTGTCGACAAGTTTGAGGAGGAGTGGGTGCTGGTCTCAGCCTGCATAGCTTCAAGTTGGACACTGGCAATCAAAAGGATGATGCATGCTACGTGCCATGCAGTGAGGCAATATTAGACGAGAAGGTGGAAGGACATGTCAGTGACGCCCTTATTTGACTTATTTGCAGCTGCAACTGCAATTGCTTCTGCAACAACAACCAGCAACGACTACAGCAACAGTAATACGAGTGGCAGTAGTCGTAGTTGTACTATCACAAGTCGTGGCAGTAAATCCAGCAGAAACGAGCTAAACCGTTCGAGTTCCTCCCAAACCACCGAGAAGTAGCCACAAGATAGATACTTTGGGTGAGTTGTCAGGTTCGGCGAACTCGCCAGACGTGCTTTTTCAATGTTGTTTGAAGATTTGGGTTTGTCAAACAAAGACTATAGAGCAGCTAAACACGGAATGTTGGTCTTGTTGTTCGGGCCTTTGGAGGCTGCCCAGTTGTATCTTTCAAGTCAGGAAGTGCTTTCCATCTTGGCTGTTTCAACGCACGCAGAAATCGCAGAAACAGAGGTTTCATTTTGTACTGCTCGGTGTTGGGATGCTTCGGCTGAGTTTGAACAAGCTTGGGAAACACCGACTTGAAATTTCAGTGAGTTGGCAACTCAAAGTTAAGTTGAACAGAGCCTTTGGCACGTTGTTGCATGTTTCGGGTTTGAAGCAAGCACCAAAGAGCGACTAAGACACTGGCCCCGATGTTTCGATTAGGTTGTCGAGCACAGCCGTGTGCGCGCCAAAGTCTTGTTGGATATCTAGACTCTAGACTTTCTGACTTTTCGCCAGTCGCTGTACTTTTCGACTTTTCGCTGTTTTTTTGACTTTTCGCTGTTTGTTGTACTTTTCGCCTTTTCGCTGCTCGTTAGACTTTTGCAGTAGGTTTTTAGGCTTCGACTTTCTTTTTTGTGCTGACCTTTTCAACTGTTCGTGACTTTTAGACTTTTTGTTTTTTGCTGTTTGTTTCGACTCCGCAGTTTTTCTCGATTTTTCGATGATTTTGATTTTTCGGGTTTTCGGTGTTTTCGCGCAAAATCTTTATTTAACGGCATTTTCAGCTGCTTTTCGGCTTTTGGCGTGCCGTTTAACATTCTCCGCTTATCCGTGCCCACAGCCATTCACAACCACAGCCAGCATAATGATGTGCATGGTCTAATACGTCCTGAGAAGGAGTGCTTGGGGCTTGAAAGGATAGGTGCCGCTGTGGTGAGCATCAGGACTTTTACCGCGACAATTGCTTCTGCTTCTTGAAGGCGCACGCCATATTGAAAAATCACCCATTCGCAGTTTTAGTCTGACGAAGTTTGCCGGCCCTGCCAGCACACTACCAGTACTGCGTACTACTAGTGGAAAGGATTTTGCCGTTTGTGCATTCGGATGTGCTTTACTTAGGTTGTCCAGGATTTGTCTTGCCGATTCCATTGCAGTTTCGGACTCTTTGACGCTGCCTGGCCTCTACGCCCATGTTCGGACTGGTCTTTAGCCTTGCGGCTGCTGTTCACAGATTTCGCACCGTCGTCTCCTGCCAGTGTCTCAAAATTGAGCTCGCCGCCAATGCTCGCATTACATTTTCAATCACAAGCCTTCTTGGCGCGTGGAGACGTGCGCCTCGCAAAAAGCTTGCAAAAAAGAGATCCCTCCATTCGTTACATGCATTTGGATAAGCGGGCAAAGCCATGGCAGGACACTATCAGCATGAGCAAGTGTAAAGCGTCCAGTCTTGCGTCTATCATCACAGCCACCGCTTGTACAGGTATCAATGCCACTGGACGTAACAGTAATACCGGGAGTGAGTGGTAAGCATTGCATGAGCATGTCGGTGGCGTGTCGAACTGTTGAACCGCGAGTCTGAAGCTGAAGCAAGGTTCCGTGTTTAGAAGGTCAGTGTATGAATGAATGCGTGCGATGCTCGAAGAAGGTTCGGGAATGTATGCTGTCGTTAACGGCATGGAGATGTGACAGAAGATGTATGCAAACGCTTGCGGGAACTCTCGTGATCTTTGCTGGCAAGGCCAGAAGCGATACAATCGATGGCTGCGTGCGTCAGCCTTGCAGCTCCAATGCAGTTCCAGAGACAGCTCATGTATCCATGTCCACTGTCCATGCAGGAGTACGAATCCGGTCTTCAAGCCTTTCGCTCCGTGCGAAGCTTAGACAAGCTTTTTCTTGTGCTGGGTTCTCGTCCATCGCCTGCTGATTTCCAGTCTAATGGGAGGCCTCCTGATGACGACGCCTTTGCAAAGCAGCCCAACTTCTCCAAGAAGGTTTTCTTGCTTGTAGTGCAGTGTCCTGCCAAGTTGTGCGGATTCCCACATATAGGATGCAGACGGGCTTCTTCGACTCACAAAGCACAAGAGGTGCACTTTCGCAGGCAAGCTTCTGGCAAAAACGTCAACATTTTACACTTTAAGGAGCCAATGGCGACCGCTTTGGCTGCAGCCTCAACTCTGCAATCTCGCCATGACGGTGCAATGGATTGATGCCTGCCAGGAATGAACGCTGGAATTGTCAAGACAACTCCCTTCTCAACAAGGCCTCTCCGGGGCCGTTGGGCATTGAAACGGGGGTTGACATGGCCCATGTGGTGACCGGAAGGTGCTGATGCCGCGCCAGAAGCACATGTTTTCTCGAGCTCGGCTCTCAGCGGATCTTTGGACACTCCCGCAAGGAAGCAGATGTGCGCAAGATGGCAGTGGACCCTCTTTCTGGGCGTGTCGGATGTTGTGCATGAGCCTGGGATCAGACACCTGCTTCAATGCTGCTTTGGAAGAATTTCGGAAGGTAGCCTGGGTGCTTTGTGCCGTGGCTTCTTGTGATTTCAGGTTCAGTCAGAAACTGAGCTTCGAAGGTTTTATGCCCGGTGAGGGGCCAAGCATGCTGTAGCGTGTGCCGCGACTGCCGGGGATCTCTGTGCACATGATGCCAAGGCACCCCCGATGGGACGCTCAGTATGAGAAGCTGGACATGCCTGAACCAGTCAGGCTCCACTGTGGGCGAGCTGAGCGCGAGCGCGGAAGAAGAGAGAGCGATACCACCCGTTCTCATGCCCTCAGAAGAGATAGGCAAAGAAGATGGGAAGCGAACTCCAATCGCACCGCCCCCCTCGAGCAGACGGGTTTCGGGGAGTGGAAATCGGATGCGAGAATTTCGACTGCGAGACCTGGAGGGAAGACTGAATCCCAAAAGGAGTGGTCGAGACTGCCAGGACTGGGGCAGAGCCACTACCACA